CCCCCCGTCTCCATTCTCCTTCCCTTGCTGTTTCACCAGGAATACCGATGGAGGCTGCCAGGTGTCAGCTCAGAAATCTTTTAACTTTACCTCCTCTCCCCAAATGGACAATGTCTCTGCTCATTAGGTACCCGCCCAGGGGGCAGATGTCAGCTCCGCTCATGGCTTTTCTCAGCTCATCTCTGCCGAGACTCGTGATGACTTCAGAGCGCTCAGGTCCCATCACGTCACGCCGGCTCCTGCCCGTGGGGCTGCCCACTCTGCCTGCCTGGCGGCTGTGCCGTCCCGGTGGCAGTTCACCTACAGCCCCCCCACCTTGGGCTCACCACCTCCCCATCTTGAGGAGTGGGGTTTTGAAGGATGTTTGTTAAAAGGCTGGAAAATAACAGGCACCGGTGGCATACGCATGGTGTGCGTGTGTGTGTGTGCAGAGCTGGATTCGGTCTCCCTTGCCCAGGCAGTGCCTGGGAGGAGAAGCCATCTCTGAAGTCTGCCCTTTGAGGCTGATGCGTCCCGACAGCTTGTTCACTGGGACATTAAAATCATTGCCTCTGTCTGCGTAAAACACCCAGTAAGGCGGATGATGGGAACGCAGGTCAGGGGAGGATCGTTCTCTCCCCTGTGTGATGAGCGGCAGCACTGGAAACCCCAAGCAGCAGAACAAAGCAGATCCCAATGGTGCAGGGGCTGCTGCACCCTGACTGGATGGGTGCGGGCTCCCCTCCAACAGGAAGGGAGCCAGCAGCTGGGGGGGACAATGCAGGTGGAGCCATCTTGCTGAGGTTCCTGTCTATAAGCTCAGGGATTTGGTGGTACGGTGGGAGAACATCCCCATCCCATCCCATTCCATCCGGTGCATCCCTCACCAGCTGCACAGCATGTTTTCCCAAAGAGCTTGAGTTTTCCCTGGGGGCTTGCAGCAAAGCAAGAGGACATCTGCAAGCTCTCCATGCTCTCTGCAGACCTTGGACCCCACACAGGTGCCCCATGGTCCCAAACACAGGGGCAAGCAAGATGCCCTATAGGCACAGACAGTCAAGTACTTGCAGGTGAGGGGAAGCTGAAGTCCACCTTAGCTGGCTGAGTTTGCAGGAGAGGCAGGCTGGGTGTTGGAGCAGGCTTTTTATTTTGGGGGGGATGGTATGTAGTAGGGGATATGGGAGGACCTGCTGGTAGTTGGGATGGTAGGATAGAGCAGCATGCCAGGGTCCTGAGGGGGCTGCTTCTGCATCTCCAGCCCAGAGTAGGCGCAGAGATGGGGAGTCTCTGGGCAGGGCTGCTGAAAACCTGAGCAAGCCTTGCTTCGAGGGGCCCTTCAAAATGATTCCTGGTGTGATCTGCTGGTTTGGGCTGGGCAGCAGGGCAGTGTGTGAGCTGGGGTGCACTGGACACCCACCAAGGCACTGCCAGGGGCATCCCCTATGCCTAGATGCTGCTTTGGAGGGCCACAGATGTCCTCAAGAGCAGTGCTTATTGGATCACTGCCTGAGCGAAAGCAGGGGAGTTGTCATGGCCCCATGGGACCAGGCACAGGACCTGCTGACATATGGAAGTACCCATCAGCTCCCCTCCGAGGCTGCACACAAGCAGGGAGCCACACACATTTTGTTCACCTTTGCATCTTATTGATGCCACATGGTCAAACCCTCTTCAGAGAACATTTGGCCACATCTCCATGATTCCTCCTTACCCACTCAAGATTAAACGCTGTGAAATTTTGAGTCCTCTGGAATGAGGTGGCTGAGTCCTCCAGTACATGTGGGTGGCATCAAGCTGAGGGTGCTGCCGAGCCCCTGGGGGGTGCTGTCCTGCATGTGGTCCCTGCTGCTCAGGGTGCTTGGTGCCTCTCTGGGATGAGTTAAGGATGTTGAAATGTCATAGTCTACAAAGGTTGACTTTTGGGGGGACTGGCCACATCAATGTGTTGGAATTCATTGCATCCTGGGGTGCTTTTATCTGGGAGCAATAGGCATGATTTTGCTGGTATCTGGACATGTCTGCCACTCTGCTGTTCACAGGTGGCTCCTTCAGCATCCTGGGTGACCCCTTGTGAACATTGCTGACCAAATTTGCTAATGGGACCTAGTCCATGAGAGCTAGCAGACGAGCTAGCCATGCAGGGATGGAGCCGTGCTCTCCACTGCCATGGATCAGGAGATAGAAAGCTTTTGGTGTGATAAGCTGGCTGGTGTCTTTCTCACAGCACCAATGCATGTTTCACTGGAGAGAAACAACCAGGAAAAAAAATTGACTCCTCCGCTTGTACTGCCAGAGCAGACACAAGGTGCAGGGGCTTTAGCAGTGCTGGAGAGAGGATTTGGGAGATGATGGTGAGGATGACAGTCTACCAGCAGACCAAAAAGTTGCTTGTCCATAGCTTGTGATGCTGCCTTTTAAGACAACTCCTGACTGTCTTGCATTGGTCATTGATGAGCAAGATACCGCTGTTGTGTAATGTGGGGACACAGGCAGCTGCCACAGCCAGTGCCTCTTTGGCCATGGTGGTGCTGCTGGATGGCTGTGCCTGGCAGAGGTCTTCTAGAAACAGCCCCACAGGAGGTGTCGGGGGATGTTTAAGCAGCCACGGTCAGGATGTGCTTTGCAGTGTTGAGGTTTCTGCTTGGAGGCAGCTTTTTGATTACGCGAGGTGCTCTTGTACCCATGCTGGAACTGAGGTTGCCCCCAGCATGGCACTGGTCCTCTGGGAAATGCAAGTGTGTCCATACCTGGAGGTGACCTGCACCTTAATAGCAGAGAACACGAGTTAGGTGGCTAGAGGAGCATGCAACTCCTCTGCGTGGTTTGCACACCTGCTCTTGTGCATCTCAGGGGGCTGCAAGACATAGAAATAGCAGTTTTAGAGACTGGCTTACAATTCTGCACCAAACATTTAGAGGAAAAAGCTGTGCTGGAAGCAGGAGTTCCTGTGCATGGGTGTGCATGTGGCACACAGTGCAAGACCATAGGGTTGTGGTTGGGATTTTACCATGCAGCATGTTGGTTTAAGGGTGGAATGGCTGTAATGTAACAAGAAGCAGAGCTGCTGGGAGATGGACCAATATTTGATTAAGAAAACTGCTGACAAACTCTTTAATGACGCATTTCCTGAATGCTAAGCCTTGTCTTGGAATGAACTCAAACCTATGACCTAGAAGACAAATAAAAGTTTCGTTCCTTGTGAATTCATGGGCTGCGTTGCTGTGGGTCACTGCTCTGCACCCGTGTGGGCAGTGGTGAGGCAGGATGTGCCCATGGGCTGGGGTGGAGGGGCTTGTGCCTGCACTGGTGCTGGGGAGAAAAAGGGGGGTTTCCTTGCAACCCTTTGTCCTTCCTGCATCCCGAATCCTTGTCTGAGCCCCCTTGTTCCTGTGTATTTTGATGAAGCTGGTGCTGTGGTCAGGGTTTTTCCTTCTTTTTCTCAATACTGAAATCAGTGACCAGAAGTTTGTGCTGATTGGCATAAAAAATTACCAAGGCTTCCTCTGCTCTGGGCTGTTTTGCCCTTGTGCTTCCCTGGATTGTCCTCGGCCATGGCAGCAGTGTTGGGAGGATGCTTTTGTGCGTTCTCAGGTGGGGGGGCTGACGGGGCATGCTGGGGTGCTGAGATGTCATGCTGTCTTCCAGGTCCTTCCCTGCTGCCTCTGCTGCTGACCCTCAGCCATCTGCCCCGTGGGATCCCCAGCCTGCCCTGCTGCCCCTCCAACGGTGAGTCACAGTTCAGGTTTTTCATCCTTTCCAAGCTATTTGGGCTTGGTGGGGGTTTTTGTTCCCTCTCTGTCTTTTGAGAGTCCATGGGGAAGGATGTTACTATTGTGACAGTTAATGGGATTTAAAATTTATTTTCCTTGTGTAGGGTCAGTGGAGAGTAGTGAAGTTCCTCAGGGTCTGTTCTAGGACCTGTCTTGCTTGCAGGTGACACTACCTCGGGATGCAGTCGCTACCTTGGAGGACATGGCTGCCATTCAGAGAGGCATATAGGGTATTGTAGGGAAAAAACATTAATTCTGAGGGCAGTTGGTCGCTGAGAGAGGCTGTGTAGTCTCCATCCTTGGAGGTTTACAAGCCCCAAAGGGATAACGTCCTGGGCAACCTGCTCTGATCTTAGGGCTGACGCTGCTGTGAGCAGCAGGCAGGACCAAAGACTGACCTCAGGGGGTCCCATGGGCTCCCCCCCACTGACGGGCTCCTTCCCACAGCAGTGGCATCAACCCCTCGAGCCCAAGTCACTGGGGATGAGCACGGTGGTTGCTGAGTCACTAGGAAGAGGAAGGTTTCCCCTTATAACCCACAAACTGCCCTGGCATGTCAAGAGCAGTGCCAAGTCCAAGCAATGAGTGGGGCCTGCAGCTCACCCACCCTGCCACCCAAAGAATATTTTGGGCGATGGAGAGCTTTTTCTGCCCTCTGGCACTCAGCTTATTAACGGCTCAGGCTGCTCGATTGATTTTATTGACGGGTAATGCATGCCCCAGTTAACTTATTGGGAGCAGCAGCAAAAATAAAGCAATAAAAATAACCCAGCACCCATGTCACTGAAACGTGCTGGATTATTTCCATTGTGGTTTGATTTCTGGATGAAGCAGACCCCTGGCTCGTGCTCCCCCCACGGGGGCAGTTCCCACAGCTGGACTGCTGGGCTGTGGTCACCTGGGGGGTCTTGCTGGGGTCATGTCCCGGGGACCCCCTCCTCCACAGCCCAGCTCTTTGGATGACTTCACTTGGTTCATGGATGCTGGGACAGACCCTGCCCAAACCTGCTCTAAATGTAGAGAAAAATATAGGCATGGCTTTGCTGCCTGCCCCATAAACAACCTGGAGGTGATGCTCCTGATCATTTTGACCCGCCCAACCCAACCCACGTTTTATTTCTCTCTGAAATTCACTTTTCCTGGATGGTAAGTGGCCATCAGGTGTCCTTCCTCTGCACTGTGCCTAACCTCTGCCATGTCCTGGTCTGCAGGCTCGTGCCGCGGACCACCGGTTTCCGCCCCGCACTCAGCATGCCCTTTTCTAGTGCAACCGGACCCTCCAAGGAATCACTCTGGAGCTCGAGGCCAACCTGCAGGGTAAGGTAAGGCAAGCTCAGTCCTTTCAGCTGCACCAAGGTCTCCCTTAGGCTATAAAACGCCTGCAGGGAGGCTGTGGTTGGGCTCTGCAGAGAGAGGTACTGTGGCACTGCAGGGACCCGGCTCCGTGTGAGGGGCAATGCTGCGGGGTGGGCAAAACAGGGAAGGGGTTTTGCTCCCTGCACAGAGCAATCCTGCTAGCAGGGCTTCTATGAGAGGTGTGTTTTGCTGCTGGGGCCTCTCTCTGCAAAGGGGCCAGTGCAATCATGCATCCATGCAGGCCTCCCGTCCTGCTGCCTCTGCCCCCGTTGCACTTGGCCGCCTGCTTTCCACCACGGTGGTCACAGGAGTCCATTAAAACCACCTAAAGAGCTAAGCTGGGAAGTGCGTAGACAGGGTCATTTTCATCAGCCACTCTGCTTTTGTTACTAAAATAGATCTGCTTTGGCCTGGGGCCATCGTGTTGTCCCAGGCATTGACTATCACAAATGGACGGCGGGGCAACATTTTCCATTAGTGAAGAGGAGGACATGCGTCTCCGAGTGAGAAGACAGCTCCATAAAGCAGAAACGTTGTAGTGACAGACAAATCCACCTCTCTTCTCTCCCTTTCCTTTTAAAAGTGTTGCTAATCCCTGTTTTCTGCACATAAAACCCTGGGAGAGACCGTCCAGAGCAACACTCTATACCTGCAACAAGATGGTGCATTTTGGATAAGGGGATAGAGGTTTCTCAGAGGAGCTGCAGGTGACCCAGTAAGGTGCAGCAGAGGTAGAACTTGCCCAAAAACCTGCAAGGAGCCTTGTCCATGGTCACTGGTGACGCGGTGGGTACTGGTTACGCCTGTTCTTGAGGATGCATCGTCTGAGGTCCGGGACCATCTGCAGCTCCTGTGTGCTATGGGCAGCCTCTTACAAACACATCCATCTGTAGAGGGGCTTTTGCGGGGGTGTAGGGCAGCTTTGTCTTTTCTGCTGGTAGCCTGAAGGCCATGAGCTGAAGGAAGATGCACTTGGGAGTACATCCCTGGAGGGCCCTGCCTCTTCCCAGCTTGCTGGCATCTCCTTGAGCACAGCAGGTCTTGGGGAAGGGATCCCCATTGCCAACCCCAGGAAAACTGGGACATGTCTTTGCTGGGGGAGCTGAGTGTCCAGCCTGGGATGAAGTCCCTAAACTGTCCTCCCACAAGCGCTCATAACCTAAATCTGTCCAGGAAGTGCATTCTATTCTCTGGCTTTAATGAAGACCGTTTTCTGCAGTAAGTGGTTATTAAAGCATCATTTGGATGAACATCACAACATCCCACAGCTCCCACCTCCCTCCAGAAAGGTCTCCAACCTATTTCTCTGCCTTCCCATGCTCCCTGTCCAACATCTCATCCCTTCTCCCAGGCCTGTGCCCCGGCCCCTCTCCCACATCCTCAGGCAGGAGGGAACCCTGGTGCCCAGCTCTGTGCAAGCCAGCAGCTTCTGGCTCAAAATGCAAAGCAAGGTGTGGTTTTCATTTTAAATGCTAAGCCCTCTACAAGGCTGTCTTGGACCTCTTGCCCCATGGGATTTCATCCTTTGAACTCAGAGCTGATGCTCTGCGTGCAGTATCATGACTTTTTTATAGAAAAACTATAGGTGCAGGGGACACCTGGAAGAAGACTCTGGTTTTGGAGACCACTTGGCACTGGGAAACTGCTGCTCCTCCATCTCACATCCAGGCAATGCAACGAGTGGTCACTGCTGATGCTGGGGGCTGGAGATGCTGTGGGCTTAGCAAGGTGCTCGGGTGGGAAGTGTCCATGCTGGCAAGGGGAAAAGGCTGTGACACGAGGCTGCGGGGTGGTGGTGGGGACATGCCTGCCAGTGGCAAACGATTTCCCAGTTTGACCCTTCTGCTTAATCTGAACTTGAAGGTGAACGAGCAAAGCTAGTGGCATCGATCTGGGATGCGGCTGATGAGTGCCGTGCCCTGCGGAGAGCTCAGCCCCCAGCGTCAGGTCCCTTTCTCACCATTTTTTTTCCTGCCTCCCCTTCACGCCTTTCCAAAGCGATCAGTCAGAGTGGGGCCTGGCGTGGCACCCCACGCCACTGACCTTGCTGGGGGCCAGGGAGACACCATATAGGTGCCTGCGGAGAGCTGCCCCACTGTCTGAAGGGCTTCTCCCAGCCCCAGCCGCCTCTCCACTGCCGGTAAGCCTGGCGTCTGCCTGCCATCAGCTCAGAGGTGCAGGGAGGCACATGCTAAAGGCAAAGGCATTGGTACTGATAAAGCCCATGCTGTGTGCCTCTCAGGAGGCACATTTCTCATAGGTAATGAAGTTGTCTGCCGAGCCGCGTGCTGATTCTCCTGACTCAAGGGGTCCAATGTCTTAATGAAGTGTTTAATTCAGACTCAGCTTGCAGGGCAAAATGTAACTTGAAGCATCTCCACACTGGTCTTAAATCTTTAGATAAAATGCTGTATGAACTGGCAAATTGTATTTCTTTGACCCATTGGGAAACAAAACCTGAGCATAGGCTGGAAACCTAGAAATTGCCTTGGCTAATGTGTAGAAAGCTTGGGTTTGGGGGAAAGAAAGATGATATGCCTTTCCTCAACATCTTCCGTGCTTTAGCCACAGATTTTCTGCAGCTGAAAATAACAAACCATTTTAATCTAAGTATTGCTTGTTCTGATCTTTTAATCCAGCTTGCTTTCTATCGACAGAGTGGCCTAAAATTATTTCTCCGCCTGCCTCTCTATTATATAATTATTCAGAAGATTACTCGGGAATGAGATTTAGCTGGGCATCACTGAGGAAGGATGAGGGGGCTGCAAACGGGGAGCTGCAGGGCTGGAAGGTGGGGGGGGGTTCTTCTCTCCCTTTGCACACCGGCCATCACAAAATGTGGGAGGGGAAAGCAGCGAGCTGAGTGCTTTTGGCTGAGTCCGTAGTTTGCATTTGAGTATGGCAGGTTTCTTCCTTAGCTTGTATTTGTTGGACTAAAATGCCCCATCATCTGGCTGGGGGCTGGAGAATTGTGACCCTCCAAGCCAGAGGGGATTTCAGGTGAAGCCCTGCACTTCTCTGCACCATTTGGGGCATTTTATGGCTGTACTTCTGTCTTTGATAACAGCATGGTGAGACAGTGCGGCCTTGGGAAGGACCTGGAAATAGGGACTGTTCTCCTGATGCTTCTGGTCCCTCCCTGTGCAGAGCTGTGGGCGGGGAACAGCTGCAAGGGAGAACCAGCATCCAGGCTGAGTGCCGGGTTGGGATGTCGAGGAGATGCCAAGAAGGCATGGAGGTGGCCAGAGCTGTGCTTTTTCACCAAAGGCCAAGCTCAGCTGGTTCTTCGAGGAGCCTTAGGTGGTTACACTTAGATAAGAAGGGCTCAAGCCCTTGGATGATAGGATGGCTGGGGACAGCTGCTCTGCAGAAGTAACTTCACTGAAATTCAAAGGCAGATGCCAGGGGTAGTTTCACTTGGGGCTTTCCATTGGCAGGGGCAACGAACAGGCATATTGCTGGCACAACAAGATGGCACAGCCGAGGGATTTGCCAGGTGGAGACTCAGACTCAGGTTGCCAGAAAAATGCAGCTCCTGACTGGCGTGACCCATGGGCTTGAGCTTTGACAGAAAAAACAAGATGTCTTGGGCTCCAAAAATTCCTTTTCCCTTCCCCAGACTGAGTGTCCTGACACTGATGGGCTGGTACCTGCGGTTACCAAGGGAAGGCCAGGAGCTGCTTGGCCTGTGGACGATGGCTGGCTGGGATGTGGTGGCTCAGAGCTGCTGTCCCCTGGGAAATACAGAGCTGGGGCAAGGAGGGACCCCCAGTGGCAAAGTCAGACGCTGAGAGCTGTGGCTTGTCTTGCCTTGCTGCATGGGGCCTTGGGGACACTTCTGGGGCAGAACATCCCCACAGTTGTGCTGCATTTTAGGTTTGGTGAGTGTTTGGGGGGAGACACTTTGAAATGCCCTTTGAGCCTGGCATGGCCATGCGGTGGTGGGAGCAGGCACTGCCTGCCTGAAGCATGCCACGCTCCCTCCATTGCACTAGGTCCTTCTTCTAAGAAAGATGTTTCAGCAGACCCTCTGCCTCCAAAGCAAGAGACTTTTCGTCTCTTGGAGCAGTTGGTTGGTGCAACCACTGTCCATTAGCTGGGAGGGCTACAGAGGATGGGATCAGCCTGGGAGGGGTCAGGAGCAACACGGGGGCACAGGATAATCTTTTTTTGGCGATGGAGCAGTTGTAGCACATCCCCTTCCTCTGAGGGTCAGGGAGCCAGCTGAGCTCTGGGGTCTGCAGTCAGGGCTTCAGCCTGGTCCTTCCCTCTGCAGCTGCTGCCTCCGAGATGGAGGGTTTAGCACAGCCCATCGCCAGCAGCCAAATGTGTGTTGCAGTACGCCTTCCTCTCCCTCCCGGAGGCTCTATCCCTGAAGTGGGTGGGCAGGCAGGCACCGCTCTGCTGGTACCCTGGTAAAGCATCTTCAAATTTCCCCCTGCACACAGGCAGCGCTCCGGTGCTTATCTTGTACCCGAACTCCTTTCTCCTTTATGTTGAAAGCGTTGGCTGGTTCGCCCTCATTGCCTTGAGGCAACCCGATTTGCTCAGTGGCCTTTAAAAGAAAAAAAAAAAAAAAATCAAAGCCCACTGAAATGACAAGAACATCAGCCATGGGTGCATCCCCCTTTCCAGCAAACCGAGGGATTTGGGAGAAAATAGGTCACGTGGTCTTCATCCCATGCCACGTGGTGGACCTCCCAGGGCCAATGAGGTTCAGAGCCCTCTGCGCTGTACAGCGAAAAAAATCACTGGGATTTTTTTTCCCCCGTAGCATTTTTCATCCTTTCCAAACGTGAAAAGACTGGCCATCTGTCCGGACCCCCCTCACACCAAATCGGCACTAAAGCGGCTCTTTGGGGAAGGTAAGAAGATTTAAAAGATTGTGTTGGTGGAAGACCACCTGCCGCATGCAACTTTTCTTATCAATAAAAATCAGGGAAGTGTCATGAAATGAGTCA